AGTTTTTGGCCGGGGCTGAGTTTGAACCCGCCACCTCTGGCATATGGGGCCAGCACCTTACTCCTTTGAGCCACAGGCGCCGCCCAGAATTTGGCTTTTTTGAAAGTCAATCTGTAAGAGGAGCCTTATCAGGGGTTCACTGAAACCAGTGAAAGTAGATACCTAAAAATACAGAGGTGTGTAGTAAGGAATTCCTGAGAATACTCCAGATGTGGAATCATTCAGGAAGGCCAGAAGGGAAATAAGAAGGTTAATCAGAATCAAATTAATTTAAAAAAAAAAAAAAAGCGGGCTTGAAAAGACTGAGCAGCAGAATCACATTTCCTTGCTAAAATTTTTTTAAATGGCAGAGGTGAAGGTAGGAATGCAAAGAAGATACAAAATTACAGATCTAGTGAAGATACAGATTATCTTTTAAAATTTTCTTCCCTTTTCTTTGACCTAGTTTTTTTTTGTTTTTTTTGTTTTTTTTGGCTGGGGCTGGGTTTGAACCCGCCACCTCTGGCATATGGGGCCAGTGCCCTACTCCTTTGAGCCACGGGCGCCTCTTTAACCTATTTTATATTACTTGGTATAATACCTGGTTAATTTGAAAAGTAACTACTTGCTTTTCTTATGATAAAAGCACAGTTTGAAAAATAATAAGCAGTACTGTGAAATTCTACAGAAGGTCTTAATTTTAATAAACACTAAGTTCTAGGTCTAAATACACATGCTGCAATGCTACCCAAATGTGTGGCACCTGTGGTAGCCCCTGGAGGGAAGGGTAGGGCCTGGCTTGGAACACAAATCCTGGCCTGAGCTCAGAGAGTAGCATAGCACTTAGGCCAATCACAGAATAAGCCAGCTGCTGCCCAGCTCAACTACTCAGGTCTGACTTGGATTGCCTGAAAACTTTTGCCACCTTAGGGGCATATGAAAACCAAGGTTATCTTTAAGGTGGCCTTTACCTATGTCAACAGCTCTGATAAAATCTTTTAGAAGCAGAGCTTTGCTGCCTTTCTCTAAAATTTCCTGGGAGAATGAGACATTTCAAAAATAAAGAGAGAAGGAAATAATCATCATATCTCCCAGAAGAAAGGGTCATTTGGGGGAAGAGGGTGGTAGGATGAGTTTTATTTTATATTTATGTTTTCATTTATTTATTATTTTGAGACAGAGTCTCAAGCCATTTGCCCTGGGTAGAGTGCCATAGCGTCATAGCTCACAGCAACTTCCAACTCTTGGGCTCAAGCAATCTTCTTACATCAGTTCTTTATTTTTTTTTTGAGATGGAGTCTCAGGCTATCCCCCTGGGTAGAGTGCCATGGCATCA